GTCGAGCACTGGTTTGACTCCGGCAACTACGGCATCAAACTTGTCCCTCTGGGTTCGGGCGTCCTGCTCCAGCACATCGAATTGCGCCTTGACCCTCTGACGATAGTCTACAAGCATTACAAATTTCCATCAAATAAGGAAACTACTTCAGCATTAACTCCGACCAGGGAGTACTCACCGTTTAACTCCTCGACCAGTTTGTCTGCTCGCCCTGTCTCCTTCGCCTTCTCTTCTCGAAGTTGTTCGAGGGCCTGGCGCAGCTGGACGAGCTCCGTGTTTTGCTCTACAAGCACAACAGTCATCGCCAAAAATATGGTTGTTTAGCAATACAAAGCACATTCGCTGATATATCGTACCTGCTTTTTGCTCAGATACACTTCTAAGCTGCTCGGATTTCTGTTCCAGCTGCGTGGAGGCACTCGCCAGCTCTTCAGACTTGCACCGCAGCTGCTCGGACAGGACCCCCTTCTGGTGTTCTAGGTCCCACGCGTTGGACTCAGCAAGGTCTCGCTCGTGCCGGGCCCTCTGGATGTTTCTCCATCAGGTTCATCGCCTCTCTGAGTTTTTCGTTCTCTTCGACGAGGGTTTCCATCCTCTTTATCAGCTGGTGCCGCTGCTCGGCAATCCGAGTTATCCCCTGCAAACGCACAATTATAATGATGAACTCTGATCTCCAACATCAAAGATGAGCACTCCAGATGCAGTACTGGCCTCGATTTGTTTCATCACTCTAGCAAGGGCGGTCTTCAATCTCCTCATCTCCTTGGTGGTGTCTTCCTCCTTGATAACCACCACCTCATCGCCGTGCTTGTGGAGGATTCGGATAGATTGGGGTCGAGGTTCAGCGCGCTTGATCTCTTCCACCTCGTCCTCTTCCGCCGTAGCTTGAGGCACCACCGAGGGGCTCCGTGGCCGGACAACGGGTCTGACCATGCCCTGCGACGCCTGTCGATGCGGGACCCACAGGATACCCCGCAAGAGAGAGAGAAGATCTAGTTCAACTAGGGTTCTTCCCATGTAATCTTAGTAATAGAACTATTAAGTAATCCTACTAGGAAATCTCATTGTAAACCGATTAGGACTCCGGCCTCCTGAATATATAAAGGAGGCCAGGGCTCCTAAAGAAGGGGACAATTGGTATGACATAACACTTCATAATCAATCCAACGCAAAAGGCAAACGCCGACTGGACGTAGGGTCGTTACTCGATCTACGATCGAGGGCCTGAACCAGGATAAATCGACTGTCTCTTGCGTTCACCATCGAGTTCAGCATACGCCGAAACCCGAACGATACTGCCATGGTACCCCCGTGGTAGGCTATCGGTGGTAAAACATCGACAACGCCTTAGGTAGCGCCGTTTGCCCCTCGGGCACCGCGGCTTCACCGCCCCAGACTCCGGCGCATCGCCGGCAACTCTAGCCTCTGCTCCCGAAGACCCGGCGGTTCCCATCGTTGCCTTGGGCACTACCGCCCATCCGTCCATTGTCAACGCTGCTCGTTCGTCGTCGCCAAGTTCGCCAGCAGCGGCGATTGACTCCTCCTCCGGTTGCTGAGCTCTCAGGGACTCTGGGACAGGAGCCACCGGTGTTGCCTCCACCATGGGATCAGCCCTCGGCGATTCGACAGTCTGGACCGGTGGGGTCAGACCCTCCGCACGCTTCACACTACATCAGATCAGTTCGTCAAGCACCAAAAAAGCTAAGAAATGACAACAAAGTAGCTCCAATGCAAGGATACTTACGGTTTGGTCTGCCGGTACAATTTCTTGAACCGGTGACGCCTACCCGAGCACCCAGGCGCGGCCATGGGGTCGACTTCCGTGCTCTAGGGAGGAGGTCCCGTCTCCTCCACCATCGGCCTCTACTCCGCCTGCCGCTCTGGGACTTCCTCCGCTTGCTGCTCGGGGGCTTCCGTCGCCTGCTGCACAGGGACTCCCCTAGTCCGTTGCTTGGGGAATTTTTCGCCATTCTTCGCTTGTTCCTCTGCGCGCGTGCTGCGTGGAGGCGATTCAGTGTTTGGTGGAGGAGCCACCGAAGTTTCGTCGTCATCTGACCACTCGAGCACCGCGGTCCTTCGCGTTCAAGTGGTCTGATCGCCACCAAGCGAGATGCCGCCTGGTTTGAGGGGACTGGCGGCCGCCATCTTTCTCTTCTTCCGGGTCGGCTCGTCTGCCGCTGCCCTCTTCCCCCGGACTTTCTCCGATACCGGGGGCGAACTCTCCGTCCGACCAGCGTCGGTGCCTCCGGACTCTGACGAAGCGCTGGCCGCATCTTCCTCAGGCCGAGCCGTTGGCCGGGCGTCTACACCCCTCAGCACACCGGAGAAGTACACCGCTCTTTCCTGCGAATGGATCTTTGCATAAGTGAATCAGTTCACTGCTCGCCAATGCTTCAGGATTAAAAGTATCGGGAAAAAACAATCGAGATGGTTACCTAAGGAGGCGCATTTGTACAATTGAAGGCCCTCGTTTGCCTTGGCCAGCTGAACGAGGCGTTGGGAGCGAATAGCTCTACGGCCTGCTCTAGGACATTTTTTTTCGTCAGCCGCTCCGTCCTCTCCCGGGTCCTATCGTCATCACCTCTGTAGTCAAAGCCTGGGTGTGCCCTCTCCTTGCAGGGCTAGACGCGGCGCACTATGAAGCTCGCCGCCACTAGTTCGCCGCTATTCTCCATGCCTTTAATCAGGTCGAGGAGCTCCCTTACTTGTTCCATGTCAGCACTGTTCGGTTTCTCCAACCAGCTTTTCTGGTTCTCCGGGATACGGTGGACGTCGCAACAGATTGCAGGGTGACTCTGTTTCATGTAGAACCACTTGGAGTTCCACCCTTTCAGAGAAGTGTTTAGTGGTACATTAATGTACTCGCTGGCCATCCCATCCCGGAGCTGCAAATATACGCCGCCGACCACCTTGGAACCACTGCCGCCCTTCTTCAACCAGAACAGGTGTCTGAAGAGGTTGAAGTGCGGCAAAACCCCCAGAAACGTCTCACATAAATTAATAAAGATCGAGATGTGTAATATGGTGTTGGGGTGGAGATTGCACAGACTAATCGTCCAGAACTCCAGCAGATCCCGCAGGAAAGGATGAACAAGGAACCCCAACCCACGCCAGAAATAATCCTCAAAGACTACAGCTTCATCAGTGTTAGGCATCGGGAAGGGCTCACCACTGGCTAGCCGCCATCCGACGGTGACGCGGTCAGGAAGCACGCCCGCCTCCACCAATCTCTCGAGCTCCGCTTCCCCCATGCGCGACGGCACCCACTCTTCGTCACGACTGGCTCCGGCACCTGCCTTCTTTGGGCTCGCCTTCTTCGGGTTCACAGCTCTCCTCTTCGGCGCCATCTCTCAGATCTGGATGGGGACTAGCATTGGGAGCGTGCGTGGATGCGAATCTGGAAATGTGAGGGCTGAGGATGAAGACGGAATGGCAAAGTGGCAAAGGTAGGAACGCGGGATGCGGCGGCACAGTTATAAAGCACTTTCCCCACCCGTTCGCATTCGAGGGTTTTTGGGAAACCGTTCCCGCGATTTGCGCCCCTCCTAATTCTCCGACGCGGCTTAATGGGCCGTAACCTGGGCTTTCACGCAACTGCAGCCCATGTCGCTCATTTATCGCCGCCGTTGGTTGTCACTCACCGAATAATCGCCGACTTCTCCGCCATTTATTGAGGCTCAGTAACAGTTACTGTACAGCCATTAATCTGGTTTTTTCTCCATAGTTGGATTTTTTAGATATCTCCGTAAACAGCTCGGGGACTGGCTGCCTGCTCGGCTGGTCTTTTTACTATTTTTCTGTTTCTGACCCTGATACCACGTGACTGCGTCACCTACTGTCAGGCTCGGGGACTAAGTGGACACACTTCACCTTGCGGTGAATGTGCTCTCTTTTCAGGGCTACGCTCAAGGACTGGCTACCTGCTCGGCTGGTCTTTTACTATTCTTCTACTTTGGACCCTGGCACCACATGACTACGTCATCTACTGTCAGACTCGGGAACTAAGTGGGAACACTTCACCTCGCGGTGAATGTGCTTGCTTTATTCTGGAAGACTCCGCGCCTCTTGAAGCTGAAGAAGACTATCTCATTTTCTCGTGGTCGGACTCTAAGTGGGCACACTTGGTCCACTGCGAAGAAATTTTTTATTCTGAACTTGAGCTCCTTACACCCTTATGGCAAGCCGTGCTTGGGTTATGCTGCTCGGCTACGGTTCTTGCTGCTTGGCAACAGTACACGCTGCTCGGCAACTGCTCACAACTGCTCGGCTACTCATCACGGTGGTCGGACCATGAGTTCGACTGCTCGGCTTCGTTCGCACCTGCTTGGACAAGCTCAAGACGACGTTGCACAATGGGTACAAGGTGCTCGAGGACTAGCTGTGGGGGGTATGACCCCAGATACCCACGGCAGACCACATGGGTTGCGCCCTCAGGGGCGGCCTAGCCCACAAGACGAAGCCTTATGGGGCACGACTCTGCTCGACGCCTCCCGCAAGACATCTGTAAGATATCCTGAAGATACTACGAGATCTGTTAGGATATGTATGATCCCAAGATTCCTGTAATCAGTTATTACTTTCCGGTTATCTCTCAGATCTAACCGACTTGTAACCCTGCTCCCCGAACTATATAAGGCAGGCAGTGACCCCCTCCAAACTCACGCAATATCATACGATAGCTAATACAAACCAACAGACCACAGGAGTAGGGTATTACATCATACTGATGGCCTGAACCTGTCTAACTCGTGCGTCTCTGTTGCCTTCTTATTCTTGATCTCATGCTCCTCTGCCGATCAATCTACCTTCGTGGAATACCCTTCGGAGGACTGCCGACGATATTATGTCGACACTTCCTCCGAGGTTGTATCCTCAGGCTCAGGCCCCTCAAATAAACGGAGTTGATAGCAGACATCTAGCTGCTTCGGTTGATGAAATCCATGTTGTTGGAGCAGAAATCAAGGAAGCTACTGATAGCATGGTAGAAATGATTGTCAGTTATGGCCAACAGAGCAGGATATCAGTATGGGATCGTTGGGATGGGAGGAATTGGCAAGACAACTTTAGCTCAGAAGATAGACAATGATCATAAAATAAGAGAGAGATTTCACCAGGTCCTTATCTGGCTGTCCATTTCACAGAGCATTGCGGAGAACGATTTACTGAAGGAGGCCATCGAAAAAGCAGGAGGGCGGCCCAATCAGCAGCAGAGCAAGGATCAGCTTGTACAAGTTCTACTGCATTCCATCAGTGGAAAAAGTGTCTTTCTTGTGCTGGATAACATGACCAGTCCTCATGTATGGATCAATCTTCTACGTTCTCTGATGGAGAGGTGTTTGGATGCTCATGTACTTGTTACCACAAGGAGCCATGACGTATTGTCACAGATGAATGTGGTGCATGTCAAGGAAATGCAGACTAAAGGATGCTGATGGCCTCGAACTGCTTATGAAGAGATCTTTTAGAACCGAAGATGAAGTAAATGACTAAATGTATTTAGTGATATTGGAGCAAAAATTGTTAAGAAATGCGATGGCCATCCTCTTTCCATCAAGGTCATTGGAGGTGTCCAATCATCCAGGTCGAGCAAGGAACAATGGGAGAGAATACTGGAGAGAAGATGGTCTATTGATGGACTTTCAGAAGAACTAGAAGGTGCTTTGTACTTAAGCTACAGTAACTTACACCCACAACTCAAACAGTGCTTCCTCTGGTGTGCCTTGTTGCCTCAGAATTTCGATATTCACCGAGATGTCACGTACTGGTGGATTGCTGAAGGTTTTGTGAAGGAAGAGGGCAGCGGACCGATACATAACATCGCCAAAGATTATTACCATGAGCTGATCAAGAGGAATCTGCTACAGACAAGGCCAGAGTATGTCGACAAGAGAGTATCAACAATGCATGACCTGTTAAGGCAACTTGGCCAATTTCTGACAAGGAATGAAGCCGTCTTCATGAAAGAGAAGCGTGATCGTTGCCCATCAAGTATTTGCCGATTAGGTGTCGGGAGCGTCGTTGACGAAATACCTGCTATAGAAGAGAAGAAACGCTGGTACGGTGCCTCATTATCTTGCATCACGACACATGCAGATAGGTGAAGAGGGACATCTTCAGAAAGCTGGTGCATCTTCGCATCTTAGTTCTACGTGGAGCAGGCCTCGAGAGCATACCTGCATCGGTGGGTTACTTGGCGCTGCTGAGGCTGCTAGATCTCAGCTACAGCGAGATCAAGGAGCTTCCAGGGTCCATCGGAAACCTTACCAGCCTTGGATGCCTTTCAGTGTTTGGTTGCACAAAGTTGGCAGCTTTGCCACCGAGTCTGATGAGGCTGACCACGATAAGCTTCCTCCAGACAGGAAACACAGGACTGGCACATGTTCCGAAAGGTATTGAGAATTTCAGGCAGATGGATAACCTTAGATCAGTTTTCCAGAATGGTGCTGGTGGTTTTCGAGTAGATGAACATAGGGCACTCTCCATGATACGATGCCTCTGGGTTATCCGGCTGGAGACAGCCACACCACCAACTGAGCCCGTACTGTGCAATAAGGGTTACCTGAAAGAGCTAGGCCTGCGCTGCACCATGAGGAAGGAAGCCAATTGTCGAACTCACTACCCGGACAGCGAGATGAAGAGGATTGAGGAGATCTACGAGAGTCTTTGCCCACCGCCAAACCTAAGCTACATCTTTATTGATGGGTTCCCTGGTCGCATGTTTCCAGCTTGGCTATCTTCAGAACCGCAGAATAAACTGCCAAACCTGGCTCATATGCACTTCTATGACTGCACATCCTGCCCGAAGCTTCCCCCAGCAGGCCAGCTACCATTTCTGCAGGTTCTTCACGTCAACGGAGCAGACAGTCGTGAGCATCGGTGCTGAGCTCCTCGGATACGGCATCCTATCTGGAACACATACCACTGCGTTTCCAAAGCTCGAGCTGCTTGAGATCCTCGACATGTACAACTAGCAGAATAGGTCACTAAGCATGGATACCTTGTTCGACAACACACAACAGCAATCCCTTATGCCGTGCCTTACACGCATGCGGCTGATAAATTTCCCCAAGTTGAGAGCTCTCCCTGATCATCTTCACAGAATTGTTAATCTACAAAGGATCCAAATAGAAGGAGCTGACAGACTGCAGGACATCATCAATCATCCCGGGGTTGTGTGGCTCAAGGTTAAGAACAAGTCCTTGAGGAAGATATCCAACCTTCTTAAGCTGCGCCTCTTGCTTGCGCAAGGGCGTACCCAGTGCAGAGAGTTCCCGCTCTGTGCGGGGTCTGGGGAAGGGTGTCAGTTGCCAAGAATTGCAGCAGGCAAAGAACCATAGCTTGCTCAAGGCCTTGTACGTTGCCGATTGCCCTATGGAGAAGATACTCTGGAAGTGTTTCCCCACAGAACAACAGAGCATGATTGTCCAAATGTCCATGTTGTCACCACTGGGGCCCACGGTCAGGATATTTATCCTCTTGAATCAGTATTTCATTAATCTATAGTGAGCACAAGATCTCTTAGAGAAATGTTACGGTATTCTTGTGTCTCTTTGCTTCTTTTTCTGTTCATAACTTGTGAAAACACCTGTTTGTGCAAATTGGTCAGGATACCTATTCATATCTTGAATCAGTATATTTCATTAATCTGGTCAGCACATAGTCTCTTAGAGACATATTACTGTATTCTTGTGTCTGTTTTTTAGTTTGGAACTTGTGCCCACGTCTGTTTCAACAAAATAGTTCATCAACATGTGCTGCCACACTGGCCATTAATTTTAAGAGATCTGCACGGGCAGAATCTTATAAGAAGTATAAGTATTAGAAGTTCGTGTTTAGTACGTACAACTAATCAAAACTACTCATCTTTGAGCATGTACTCCCTCTATTTCTTCATTTTCTAACGCAATACCAATATAAATACTCTATAATATCTATCCAGTTGTGATGAATTTATGAATTACTTTAATGTTTTTACCATCCATAACCATTGTTTTTCTCTCTTATTGCAAAGCACCTACATTCCTTCCATATGCATTTAGTTGAACCCATAACTTAAGTTATGATGGCTCTTATTAAAGCTTATGTCTTGTGACATTCATGATTCTACATTTCACTTTTAAATCAATGATGTTATTAGTTGGATACATTTTTTATCTGCATGTTAAGTTAAAATTCTTGTGCTTGTGGTATCTTTTTGTGAAGCTCCTTTATCATATTTTTTGAAAAAAGATAATAAGGATTACAGTTACAGGCCGCACTCTAAATTTTTATGATAACATAAATGGTCTCCTACACTACACCACGTGTAAAGATCTATGGATGGCTAGAGAGAGGGTGAATAGCCAAATTTAAATTCTAAAAAAACAAAACTAGGTAAACACGTTAGAACAAAGATACACATAGACACATAGTGGGGTGTCCGACAGGGCCATGGTGGGGCAGGTGGTCGCAGCGACAGGTGATGTTAGGCTGGTATGCAGGAGTTGGTTTGCCAATTTGTGTCTTCTACTTCATCACCTGCTTACCCACTGGGTAATCTATGCCTGTTGGGCATTATACACTAGTTTCGGGGATGGATAAATTTGGGTGCCTGATTTTTGGGTATGGGTATTCAGGGATGGATAAATTGGGGTGGGTGATTTTAAGGTATGGGTACCGAGTAATCTATTTCTTCCCCAACGGCATCATTACAGCCAGCTGAACTTTGTAATTACATATAAGGTGCTGAGGACCGAATATAAGCATACAAGGATTTGTGAAAATTGAGATGAACAAATTAAAGAGTACAGTCATCGCTAATTACTCCCTCCGTTCCAAATTATAAGATGTTTTGGCTTTTCTAGATTCATAGTTTTTGCTACGCATATAGATATACATTATTTTTCGATCGAACAAGATGCCTGATGAGTGGAGGAGAAGTATATTGGTACCGATCTACAAGAATAAAGGGGATATTCAAAGTTGTACAAATTACCGGGCAATTAAGTTGATGAGCCATACTATGAAGCTATGGGAGAGAGTTATCGAGCATCGCTTGAGAGCAATAACGCGGGTCTCTATGAACCAATTTGGTTTCATGCCCGGAAGATCAACCATGGAAGCCATTTTCTTAATAAGACAAGTTATGGAGCGGTATAGGGAGAAAAAGAAGAAGAACCTACACATGGTTTTTATTGACTTGGAGAAGGCTTATGATAAAATACCAAGAAATGTTATGTGGTGGGCTTTGGACAAACATAAAGTCCCAACGAAGTACGTTTGGCTCATTAAGGACATGTACAGCAATGTTGTGACTAGAGTTCGAACAAGTGATGGAGACACGGATGACTTCCCGATTAGGATAGGACTACATCAAGAGTCAGCTTTGAGCCCTTATTTGTTTGCTTTAGTGATGGATGAGGTCACAAGGGACATACAAGGGGACATCCCTTGGTGTATGCTTTTCGCGGACGATGTAGTGCTAGTTGATGAAAGCCGGACAGGAGTGAATAAGAAACTGGAGTTATGGCGGAAGACTTTGGAGTCTAAAGGTTTTAGACTTAGTAGAACTAAAACTGAGTATATGAGATGTGACTTCGGCACTACTACTCGGGAGGAGGAAGATGTTAGTTTGGAAGGTCAAGTAGTGCCTAGGAAGGATATCTTTCGATATTTAGGATCAATGCTACTGAGGGGGACGGGATATTGATGAAGATGTTAGCCATAGAATCAAAGCGTGGTGGATGAAGTGGCGGCAAGCGTCCCGTGTCCTATGTGACAAAAGGGTACCACGGTGGCTAAAAGGCAAGTTTTATAGGACGGCGATTAGACCTGCTATGTTGTATGGTGCGTAATGTTGGCCTCTGAAAAGACGACATATTCAACAACTAAGTGTCGCGAAAATGCGTATGTTATGTTGGATTTGCGGTCATACAAGAAGGGATCGAGTTCGAACGATGATATACGTGAGAGATTAGGGGTAGCGCTAATTGAAGAAAAGCTTGTCCAACACCGGTTGAGATGGTTTGGACATGTGCAACGGAGACCTCCAGATGCACCGGTGCGTAGTGGAATCCTAAGTCGATATAGTACGTGAAGAGAGGCAGAGGAAGACCGAAGTTGACTTGGGTAGAGGCAATAAAAGGAGACTTGAAAGGATGGAATATGCCCAAAGACTTAGCCTTAGATAGGAGTGCTTGGAAGACAGCTATTAACGTGCCTGAACCTTGATTGCTTTTGTTGGGTTTCAACTCTAGCCTACCCCAACTTGTTTGGGACTTAAAGGCTTTGTTGTTGTTGTATATAGATATACATTATGTCTAGTACACAATTAAAAATATGTATCTAGAAATGCTAAAACGTTTTATAATTTGGAACGGAGGGAGTAATTAAAGAGCCTAGCTACTTTTGCAAGAGAAAAAAAGGAGAAACTAATTGCACAGCCTAATTTAGCCTATATTTCATACTAGTTGTAAAATGCCCTGATACAAAATACTGTATTAGGCAGTAGCATGTGCACAATCAAAATTCCTCAGATCGATTATCTATTCGAGTGGCGCAAGGCAGTTTTGATGACTATGGGCCTATGGCTCATCGAGAGTTCGGTTAGAGATTGTTGTACCTGTACCGTACTGTTGTAGACCCGGTTCAGAGCCTCTGCCTTGGCCTCTGAGGCTGCCTTGTGTGTGGGGCGCCGGCAGTGCAGAGCCTACGCCGGTGTAGATCCACCACCGTACCAGCGTGTAGTGGTGCGGCTGTCGACAGTGGCAGACCCAGGATTTGAGTCCACGGTATGCCTAACAAAAATAAAATAAAAGCTATTATCTAATACGGTATACTTCAACACAAAAAATCGATAAATAGTTCAGCAAAAGAAAACATAATGTATCTAAAAGAGCTCTAAATTCAACAAGCAAATTCAAAACTTGCATAAATGACAATATAAATTGTTCAAACATAAGATAAGGTCTTACGTAAATAGAAGATTACAATACTAGTTTAGAGCTTTTTCTTTAGGCTTCTTCATGGCCATGAAGTGTAAACTATGCCATCCTCGCAACAGAAAAAATATCACACTCGCTAAAAAATGACCAAAAAATAATTCAATAACTGGTCACCCATTCCTCTTATTCTTTCGCATTGCAGAGAATACTCTGTACATTACACACTGCAGAGAATACTCTTTCAACTCAGTACACAGTACTATGTACTCTACTCACAAATTGAGCAGCAAGCATCATTCAGCAGCAAATTCGCAAATTACAGTCACCAATTTCAAGCATATGTCTCTATGCTCCCAACTCTCTACTCAGAAACTCACCAGAGATGCTCAGATGTGGAGGACAAGGACAGCGGCGGCGGGGTGTCGCCAGGTCGCCGCGTCGGGCCGAAGTCTGGTAGATCCACAAAGTGTGTTGACAGGGGCGGCATAGACGCGCAGCCGCGCAGGCCAGGTCCCGCGTGCGCGTGGCGCCATCGCGCAGCTGCGCAGACTAGGTTGGCTGGTGCCCGCTCTGCGCCTCCACTGCTCGGGTGCCCTGGCCCCTGGGCCCTGGCAGCTTGCCGACGCCGCGACGTGCTGATCTCCACGAGCAGCGACTAGTCCGGCGAGAACGCCGAGCAGAGGCGCTGCAGAACAGCCGCCACGGCCCACATGAGGCAAGGCTTTGTTGGGCTTTCATTCGTCTAGGCCTTAAATGATAAAGTAGTAGTAGTTTAATGGGCCAAATTTAGGTTGTTCTGGGTCTATATGGACTACCCGCGTTGGGTTTACCTCTGGGCTGGACTGGCTGCCCGGCCATTGGGCCTGGAAGTGGAAGTGGCCAACCGCCCAACCACACAAGATTGTTCAAGCTTTTTTTTTCTTTTGCTAATTGTTGAAACTTCTCAAATTTAAATTTGACTTCAATTCAAACTTCAATTTTTATAAGGGAAGCCACAAATGGTAACAATCCCGATCTATGGTATGAGTTTGGGCTTTCAAAGCTGCATTCTGGAACGATACCTCCACCACCGAATGTCCTTGATTTTGCAAGTCAGCTCACACGGCTGGGACTTTGACTAGGGTGAACAGCGGTACAGTAATGTGTTTCCTCCTGAGCAAACTGGTGCCGCCTTCTTGAGTGAATATGGCTCGGACATTTGCGACGAGCATGAAAAGACTAGAAGTGGGTTGGACATCAAATGTCATTGCAACATTTTTGGTTGATATGTTTGGTAAAAAAATCTTCTCGTGAATTGGAATAATTAATTTAATGAATTGGAACGATTCTTTACAAGATTCAGCCAATTTCTTTTGTGAATTGGAACCATCTTTTTTATATATACACTATAAGATTTTATTATGAGCTGAGCATTTTGGCGCGGGACATATTTGATATTTCGCATGAGTGGGTGGCCAGGATTATTCGAGGAACGGACACATGACGTCGGTGAAGTGAGAAATCTTATCCTAGTCCTGCCTGCTCTGTAACGATAATCGGCTTGTTCGGTTGGCTGGTTCGTATCGTTGCTGGTTCGTTTACGTGAGAGAGTGGTACTGCTGGCTGGTTCGCTGCTACAGTAGCCATGGGAGGGGGCTGGCCAGCCAGCCCAGCCAGCCCCAGCCCAGCGAACGAGCGGAATGCTGGTATTAAGACGTCCGTCCGTGACTCTGCGTCCAGCCGTAGCTTCCAAGGAGCGGACCTCAAACAAAAAAAAACAAATTCCCATTCCTTCATGCTTATAGTCAGTCCCGATATTAGACGGAGCATGATCCCATACAAAAGCAAACTATAAAAGTGAGAATGAATAAATCTTCAAGTCAAACAATGCCATCTTAATCAGCCATTAATAATTCCTTAAACGTTTTTTTTAACGCAAACCTCTATTATGGCTATGTTCGCTTGTCTTATACTCCGTACTTTTCGGCTTGTCTTTTTAGCTGGAACAGTGTTTTTCTCTCGCAATAAATCAGCCGGAACAGTGTTTCAGCTTATTTTTTCAGCGAAACGAACCTCACTAGTAAAATTTGTACGATAAAAATAAGCAAGATTATATATTAGTATTGTCGAGGGGGTGTGCTACCTCGACGCCTATCGTAGGCGCCGTGGTTTCCGATGCTGAGCTCACGGTCCAAACTCGGAATTTCGACACACAGGGGTGTAGATGTGAACTTTTTTTTACAAAAGAAGGGCTAAAATAAGAAAAAAACGGCCTATTGTACCATGTACGCAGGTCCAACTCTATGCCTTTTGTTTCTGTTTCTATTTTCATTCAAAGCTGAACTTTAGCATCAGTTGCCGACTTGACCTGTTTGCCGTTGGTAATCAACTAGTCCTAGTTGTTTGCAGCTGTTTTTTTGTAATATAAGCCTATACTACCCTCTGAAGCCTCCTAGCTGAATTCAATAATCTTCCAGTTGACAATTATTCAGATGCTCTGCCCTGCTCGGCAGGACTTATCGCTGCTGTGGCTGATTTGTAGAGCTGATTTGTTGTAAGAGAAAAACATTGTTCCATTGCTGAAAAGTAGGTCTGATCCTGGCTGATAAGCTCAAACGAACAGGGCGAGCTAATTTGTTGTAAAAGAAAAACATTGTTCCATGGCTCCGGGAGCTGATCGATTTGCCATTCAGAATAGCTAAGATATTAACAACGGACAACACCTGATGATTTCAGTAGTACAGTAAGCTCCTGGCTGGATCGAAGCAGACCAGTTGAGTGGTTGACCCGTTCAGTCTTGTTGCATATAATATATATGTGTGTATCCTAGTCAGTCATTCTCTTTTTCTTTTTCTTGAACAGAGAAGAGACTGTCTAGAATAGTTCAAGGTCTTTTTGCTGGACGGTCCGGATGGTCTGCACTGCAGACAAGAACACCTGCAGCAACAGGCTGGCTGCAGGAGTAGAACGACCGAGAAGTCTGAGCAAAGCAATTGACCGGTTCAGCAGCCATGGTGTAGGTTGTTGTATTGTGCGTGCAGCCGCTAGCGCCATTTTGTACGTACGCGCGCACGGACCCTTTGAATGCAAGAGGCCAAAGCATGAAGACAACGAACGGGGATCGGGGAACGGTTCATCACAACGGACCCCTTCAAAGTTAAAGGCTTTAATTTTTCCCTTTAGTTCCGTTACCTGTACCGCATGTGACACGCTACGTCAACGGGCTAAGCTAGAGAGCCTTTTTCGATTTGGAGGATTCACAGTCACAGTGTATATGAGACGAATAACGCTACATCTCGGGCACCATTACAAAAAAAAAAAAAAAAAAAAAAAAAAAACTAACACTACCGACCTTATCCCAGTAATACCCGGTGCTTTATAACCGGCAGTGATAAATTCTCGATCGCCGCTGGTTCTTAATAGAGACAGATGTCACTGTTGGTTATAAATTCTAACCGACAATAATAATTAGTGCCGGATGCGATTAATATCTAGCGATTATACTAGTATTCTCAGGTCTCATCACCATCTCATTATGATAAACCATTCAGATCCAAAATTTTGTATTAACTATGGTTCGCTCTCATTTCAAGTCCGTCTGCATCTCATCTGTGGAATCTGTGGAACCCCTACCTTGCTTATCATCCTTCTTCGTCCTCTTTTTATCCGCCAGTGGGCTCGTCTCTCATACTCACTTCCTCCTATCTCACCCACTAGTAGACGCCTCATGCTTGAACTCCCCCACGTGAGTCCCCCCCCCCACTCGCTCGGTGGCAACACACTAGGCGGTCTACCCCAGCGCAAGCCCTCCCCCACCCCATAGTCTTCTATGTTGGAGTAGAGGTCCAGTGGTGTAGGGCTCAACAGCGTGGGCCTGGCGGTGTGAAACCTAGCAAGCCATGGGGTCAACAGCACAAGGTCTAACAATATGGGCGTGATTGGTTACAGAGCAAACCTTGAGCCAGGATGGCTAGGATGTGCAAGACCGAAGAAGCCGGGTTGAGTTCGTGCAGGTGGTCGTGTTTGGTTATCTTTGTTGTTAATCCAGTATGAGACAAGGTTGTGTTTGGTTGCATGCATGCATCAGAGTTTTGAGTGTCTGACACATGGGTCTCTGCACCATGCGTGAATCAAGCCATCATGGCTCGCGAGGGAAGGAGAAATCTAGAAGATCGAGGCGTGCGGGATGGAGAGGGGGAAAGGAATGAAACAAAGCAGGCAAACGCAAACGGTGTGAGACAGGGAACCAAACAAGACCAAAGTGCATGATGTGGTACCGGATGGCCCTTTGGACGGTCTAAGCAGGGCAACCAATCACCCCCTACAGGACCTAGTGGTACGAGGCACAGGGCCGGTAGCACAAGCCTAGCAATCTGTAGCTTTATAGTTGAGAAGTTTTTTATTTGAAACCGTTAAGAGTCCCAAATATTGTCTTAAGTTCATGAATTTTGAAATTTAAAATCTAAAATTTTGAACCAACCTCACATGTTGACATGGTCTATACCAAAGTTGTTGTTCTCAATACAATCTACAACTTTGTAGTTGAGAATTTTTTTAATTTAAAATCATTTAGAGTCACAAATATGTGTTTTAAATTCATAGATTTTGAAATTCAAAATTTAGAATTTATAAACGACCTTGAATGTTCACATAATTAATACTAACAAAGTTGCAGTGGCCGACCTGATCTGCATGTTTGTTGTTAATAAGTTTTTCATTTGAGATTTTTTTATTGTTTCAAATAGTTTTTAAAATTCACATACTTTGATATTCAAAATTTTGATTTTTTCAACAATCTTCATGGAGACACATTCTATACTAAAGTTATAGTGCTTTTGAAAAAAATTAAAACTTTATAGTTGAAACTTTTTTATTTAAGTTATTTAGTAGTCTGAGTTTTCAATATAAAATTACGAAATATTGAGATAAAAAAATAGCATATTGTCCATGGAAGATGTTTGTATGATCCTTTAGAAGCATGGGTACTAATGGGTTACTTGGTCTCTTCTCTTTATTTAGAATTTGTAAGGGACTGCTCCACTCAAAAATAATTCAGGTTTGCTTCCTACTTTGCTAGCTAAACAGGGACAACTCCACCAGCTCTACTCCAAAGAAAAAGTAGAGTTTGTGAAGCATCTAAAAAGGTACTCCATAAACTTTAGATTTTTTGAGTTGCTCCACGACGGAGTTAGTGGAGCAGTTCCAAAAAACCCCTTAGTATAGCGCACAAATAAATTGAATGTCTTGTTCGAATATCAGGTTCTTAAAACATAGAATAAGGAAATATAGTTTGAATAAAATACGTAGATATCTTGAATATATAAGGATTACAAATTAAGAAACTACAAGAATGAAAATTTAGTTGGAACCTAAGAAAAACATAAGAGTTCGGTTAGAGCATCTACAAGAGTACCCTGTATTTTCTTCCTAAAAACATGAAATTTTACAATTCCTAAAAAGTATTAGAAGGAACAAAAAAAAGCCATCTCCAAGAGTTTCTAATAATCTACTCCTAAAATATAGGAGACAATTTTACACCAGGAATGCTATACTATTTCTAAATTATCCTAACCACTTTTATATATTCTTTCTCTCTTGTACATTTGCATCAGGAACCATTTCCTTCTCTTTATTCTTTCCACACCCTTCCACCTTTAGATTGTGCGAGAGAGAAGATACG